CAAACTGGTTTACTACTCTGCCTTTCTCGGTGTAGTCTCTGAAGACGTCTAGTAACTCTAGGAGCTTATCTTGGGCCACATGAGATTCAGCCATAGTTAACGCTTGGAGAATCAGGTCTCTCGCCCAGTAGATGGCCTGCTCCGAGTTCTTGGCAGTTGGTTTTGGGGTAGAGGAGTTCTGGAAGGGGTTTCTGCCTCTATAGGCAGCCTCTGGCGAGAAGTTGGCTTGGCGCTTTTTTGGTGGTAGGATTGGGATTTCAAAGACGCTCTCTTGGCTGGCTGGTTGCTGGGTAGGAGTGGCTGGGTAGGGGTCCTCTCTGTCCATTTCCCTGTCGATCTGAGCCTCTGGGCCTAGGCTCTCTTGCCTCTGTTCTAGCACTTGGGCTTCGATAGTATCGCTTTCTGGTGGCATTCTGTTGCTGGGGTTCTCTTATTACTAAGCAGAGTGGTCTGTGTGTTTTTGTTTTGAGTGTGAGACGTGTCCTAACTGTCTGCTCCTATAGCTTATAGCTCCACAGCGCGCACGCTGCACGTCTTAAAACTTGCTGTAATTAGTTTCTTGTAAGGGATTTGTATATATTTAACAAAAATTACACCTATTCTAGAAAACTTGACGTTGGTGTGTGAATGCTAGCCTAAGAAGGCTGCTTAGTAAGTAAATAACTAATTACTTCTAGAATCGCCCACACAAAACTACTATTACTACTTCTACTACTACTACTACCACTACTACTACTACTACTACTACTACTACTACTACTGCTACTATACTTATAGTTCTTTATTATATACTATAGCCTAACGTGGTTCATAAGCGAGTCGGCCACCCAAGCGAGTCGGCCACTTTGTACCGGCGCGTCGACGTTAACACTATAACGCGTTATGTCTTAACCACACAATTATTTGTTAATCTATTCTAAATCTAATCTTTAACTTGCTCTTTTTAACGTCCAATCGCAACGTGTTTAAAGCTAAAGACGTGCTGCTTCTATCTATAACGTGCCTCGAACTACTCTCTAAGACTAACGCGCTGGAAAGCGCTTTCAACGCGACTGCGAACCGAATTCAAAGCGCCTAAATAAGCTAGAAGAGGAGGCTATTGTTAGGCGTATTCTTGAAGAGTCTACGGGAGGATTTGCCCCTATAAAGGCTGAGGTTCGAGCAATAGCTGATAAACTGTTAGAGGAGCGTGGTGGCAACCCTGTTGGCAAGAACTGGGTTGACAACTTTGTTAAGCGGACTCCTGAGCTCCGTACGCGCTGGAGCCGTCCCTATGATCACCAGCGAGCCGCCTGCGAGGATCCAGTGGCTATCCAGCGCTGGTTTGACTTAGTCCAGGCGACAAAGCAGAAGTGGGGTATTGTGGACGATGATATCTACAACTTTAACGAAACTGGCTTTATAATAGGCAAGATTTTATTACAGTTAGTTATCACAGGCTTAGAAGGATATAGAAAAAAGAAGTAGGTACAGCCAGGCAACCGTAAGTGGGTTACTATGATCTAAGGCGTGGGCGCGTTGGGTCGCTAAATACCACCCTTTGTTGTCTTTGCGGGCAAGGTGCTTATCAACGTCTAGTTTGAGGATTTGCCTGCCAACTAGGTTCTTGAAGTTAGTCCTAATGGCTAGACGAATAATTAGCTTGGTCTTGCCTAGTTAGAGCACTTTAATACCTATACAAAGAGGCATACTGTAGGTGGGTATTAACTGCTTATTATTGACGGCCATGAGAGCTACTGCTCCATCGATTTTCAAGATCTTTGCAAGGAGAAGAATGTTATTCTTCTCTGCATGCCTCCACACTCGTCTCACCTGTTGCAGCCCCTTGACGTCGCCTGCTTCTCGCTGTTGAAGCGTAAGTATGGCGACGCTGTTTCAGGCTTGGCACGTAACCGCACCTACTATATTAGCAAGGAGACCTTCCTACCAGCCTTTAAGGCTGCTTTTGAGCAGTCTATCACGAAGGAGAATATCCAAGCTGGCTTCAGAGGCGCTGGACTAGTCCCACACAACCCACAGGCTGTGCTATCTAAGCTTGATGTGGTGGTGCAGACGCCAGTACAATCACCGCGACAGGCAGCCGCCTAGCAGGCGCAGACACCACGCAACGCGCGCGAGGTTAAGGCTTAAAGTACTCTTATTTAACAGAGAGTAAGAAACCGCCCTAGGTCTTCTGCAAATTCTCTTAACGAGAAGGTTGTGCAGCTAAGTAAAGGGGCTTAGCAAATAGCACATGAGATGACGCTTATGAGGGAGGAAGTAGCTGCTCTTTAAGAGGCTCTAGACATAGCAAATAAGCGTAAGAACCGCAAGCGGCGATACGTACGGACAGAAGAGACTCTTACTATAGGCGAAGTACAAGAAGTATTAGCTGAACAGGCGGGTAGTAGTCGTGGTGATAGTGAGAGTGCGTCGAAGAGGGTGCGAGGAGAGCGGCGGTGCGGGCGTTGTAAGCACACTAGACACAACGCTCGTACCTGCGTAGTTGAGATAGATAGTGCAAGTGATAGTAGTGATTCTAATAATTAATTTAGTATATTGCAATAGTTTATTGACTGTGATAAAAGACTGTGATAACGTGTTGAAGTTGACGCGACGGTACAAAGTGGCCGACTCGCTTGGGTGGCCGACTCGCTTATGAACCACGTTATACTTATTATTGTTCCATTAGAGTCTAGTGAGCTCGAGGCTATGTAAGACTTTGGCCGAGGCCGTTCTAACTAGATTTATTTACAAATACGAGTTTGTGCTTGAAGTGTGTCTGTGGTGCTTCGGCCTTTGTCTAGGTAAGCGATAGCTATCGCTTACTAGACGCCTAGTGCTAAAGAGCATTTTGATAACAGAAAGAGATGTTAGAAAGCAAAGCAATCCTCCAGCGGGCTCTTTTAGGGATAAAAAGAAAAAGTTTCGACTTAGGTAGTTTTAATAAGTAACTCTCTCGTTCATTTTTAATGAGTCTTCATCTCAAGTTTTAGTGAGTAACTCTCTCGTTTCGACTTAGTGCCCAGCGAGTAGCAGCTGTCT